AATTCAGTTTATTTAAATTTCGCTAATTTACAATGTATGTCAACTCAAGGCTGGAACAATTCATTGGATCAGTCATGAATAATCGATTATTGAAATAATTGTCAAGATTTATTAATTGATTAATCATTAACTGGAATATAGAGACTCGAAAACACACTGAAAACACAATCTATAAATACGAACAAATTTCTCAAATTAAGTCTATTTACCCTTAATTTGAGCAGATAAATAAGATCATCTGCCAGTGGAATACATTTTTTATTCTTAAAATAACATAGTTAGACAATATGCAGTTGAAATAAGACAATGCAGTTGTTGTTTTTTTTATGTAAATTGTTTTGTTCCACTGGAAAAGAGTCTCAACTCCTCAATTCAAGAAAAACAGCACTTTATATAAGAAAAAATTACTTGTTTAGATTTACTTTTGTTGTATTGTATGCCTTTAGCTGACATTTAGCGGACATTTGAATTGAGAAAGCTTCCTGGAGAGGTAGCGAAACGTCTTCAAATCTTGGAAACCAAGTCCAGTGGATATTTTTCGAATTTTTACGGAACTTTAGCTGACAGAGCGACCCACTTAGAGCAGGGATTAAAAATAATATTAAAAAAAAATCAAGTGGAAAACTTTAAGTTTCACCTGGTTTCATTTCATAAAAAGTCTTCTTTAAGGAACCTTTGGCTAAAATAATAAACTACTTAGAAAAAGATCTACAAAAAAATATAAAAGTTGCATTTATGATTAAAACTTATTATATATATTTAAATGTTAATAACATGTATATAATTATAGATAGACACATATATTGATTTTTCTAAGTTTATATAATGTAAAATGTGCAATAAAGTTTGTTTATTCATTTTGAAATGTCAGTTAATTAAAAGTATTTCTTTTTAGAATATTTGATAAACAATAATAGATGAATTGACCAATAAAATAATCAATCTCTACTTTATTGTCTGCAGCATTCATACATGCACACCTCTCCTCCTCCTGCATGCAGACGTGTTCAGAAATCTGCTTGCATCCTGATGCATGTTGTTTCTGTGTAGCTCCTGCTCTGCAGGATCCTCCGGATCATGTTTATAAATGAGAAGAGAGTCTAAAATCATCTACCTGCTAACATAGAACAGATGTTTACTCCTCTGCCCCTTCAGGGTAGAGGAGTAAACATCACCGCTGTTTTAACCTGAAAGCTGGAGGTCAGGGATCGCCATCTGAGGCGACGTGTGGTCCGTTTGGACCGCCGCTCGTTAGGCAGAGATCAGCCCAGGCTGGTCTGAGTTGGCGCAGAGCTCGTCCAATCAGGACGCTGAGATCCTCGTACATTTTTTTTTTTTGAGTTTTTTTGAAGAACGTCTGCTTTGCTGCTGACTCCAGTACGGTCTCTAACCAACACCTGCTCCCCGTCCCTCAGGTCTACTACTCTCTTTGGAGGCATCTGCTGAAGCTCTTCTGGTGGCTGGTTGTGGCCTACACCATGCTGGTGCTCATCTCCATCTACACCTACCAGTTTGAGGATTTCCCTAAATACTGGAAAAACCTGACTGGTTTCACAGACGACCAGTATGTTTCCCGCCGTTGGTTTACTGGTTTTCTGTTGGACATGGAGTAATCGGGCTGTGTTGCGTCGGCAGGTTGGCGGCCATCGGTCTGGAGACGTTTGCTCTGTCTGAGCTGTTCTCCAGCATCCTCATCCCAGGTTTCTTCCTGCTGGCCTGCATCCTGCAGCTGCACTACTTCCACAAGCCCTTCATGAGGATCACCGACCTGGACCAGGTGACGCCCATACACAGGTACAGCAACAGCAGTTCTAAATATTATGAGTCCATTATGAGACGGCAGCGATGCTCTGAGAAACTACCAGCATGTTCTGCCTCCAGAAGGAGGAAGAACGGAAGACCTGAGGAGGCCAGCTCCTATGGTTTGACCAGGAACCCTGAGGAAGAAGAAGAGCTGATGCCTAATGATGAGGAGGAGTCTGAGGATGAAGGTAAATATAATGTTTTCATATTACCATGAAGATCAGGCTATGATGTTTATCCCCACTGAATTTATAAACATGTCTGTTTGTGTTTTTGCCTTTCAGTAGATATTAGAGGCAGGTATCAGTTTGAAAATTCTTTTCAATCTGACGCTGATTCTGTTTGATTTCAAATGGATCCCTGCAATTAAAAACATTATTAAACTGTTTCCTGAATCACATGAGTTCTAATGAAAATCAGTGGTGAAGCCATTTTTCTTTTAAGCTCTATTTAGGATGTAGCATTAGAAAAACAGGCTAATATAGCAAATATGAATCAAACTAGGGAGACCATGGATGTGTCTGAACATCCGCCCTAACCCCTAAATCCTCCATCACTATATAGACTGGGGACTTTATAGTGAACTTTATAGTGAACTT